TTGAAACTTATCTGACAGCTTCTTTACATAATGTAGACTCAAGTTTGATCAAATGACGACTCCCAGGGGTAGGGTGGGGCCACAATGGGCGATCAAAGTTTTACATAGGAGTATATAGGAAAAAACCTTTAAAATATTCCTCTTAGGAACAGCAAAGCCATGTTTAGTCATATTGATATTGCAGCATCCTCAGGTAATGTAGATTCAAATTTGTTCAAATGATGACCCCCCGGGGGTAGGATGGGGCCACAAAGGGAGATCAAATTTTTGCAAAGGAATATATAGGAATTTTATTCTTTTCAAAAAATAAAAAAAAAAATCTTCTGCTCTTTAAAAGCAAAGCCAATAGTTATATTGATATGGAAGCATCCTTAGGTGGTGCAAAAATCAAGTTTGACACCAACACCCCCCCCCCCTCCAACCCCCAATGTAAACTTTTCAATGCTGAACTGATTTGTGCTTTTTCGTAGCCAATGTGCTCAGGTGAGCTATGTGGCCCATGGACTTCTTGTTTAACGTCAAAAATTTTTAGTACTCTCTAATGAATTAAGAAATATGTCACATCATAGACATACGGGTGAATTAAAATCATTACTGCTTGTATCAAAATATTCGTCTCCTTTAGACTCACGGTATCTAGAGATAAACATGTACATGGTATTTTGGGGCTGTGCCGCATGGTCATACTACTGCTTACGGAAACATTGACAATTTATTCAAACATAAACCGTAATTGATGTTGAATGAATATGTTAAAAGTTATAGATATAGATCTATACCTTAATTGATTTGAATTTTATTGTCCACGAACTTTTTGATAACTCCTATTAGGAAATAAATGCGGTTGCAGTAATTCTGCATGGGCTCGGAAACGGAAGTAGTTTTATATACATTACGGATTCCATCCAAAGAACTCCTTTATAAATAAGATACACTTATGGAAGTGCTAAGTTTTAAATTCCTCATAATTTCTTCATTTTTTCAGTTTTGTCAAAAATGCCATGATGTACATATTGAATTAATTTAGCCTCGCCCTGGAAGAAGTCGTCTTCCCGAAAAAACATAATTATACATTGTACATGTATACTCCATATAGAACTTACCATACATAGCCATAGGAAACGGGAATGGGGGGGGGTGCCCCCTCCAATAATTTTACCGATATAAAGTATACTATAGAAAACAAAGCTTCTTTTGGATTTGATGGATTTGATGTGCTCCCTAAATAATTACGTCTGACGACCTTCTTTGCCTTTAAGGAAGTTTCGGTCGGTGATGCCCACCCAAATTAAAATTGTTTGGTTGCCCCCCCCCCCCCATGAAATTGCTTCCTAAGGGCCTACAGGTCTACCACATCCAAAAGACAAATACTGGTTCGTGAATATAAGAATAAAGTAAGTGAATTATTCCCGTTTGTTTCCGTGGTGATAATAGTTGGTAGTGTTTTAACCCGTGGCCGTGTGGCTGTGCTTTATTATATTTACTTTTCTTCGCTCCATTCAGGCAGTCTTAGTTATCGCCCGTGTTGTGCGTGCTAATTCTACATTAACCAACTTTGTCGCATTTAATGTTGAGAATTTTCTCTCAATCTCATTAGATACTAAAGGGAAAAATGGAATAGTTTACAGGTATATCTCGAAAAGCCTGTTTATGGCTTGCCAGTTACTGAGAACATGTAAAAGTGCATGCATAGCGTTCAAGGATGGAGAAAACCATTAACTTTACTGGTCTCATTTTTGTCGCAGAAAAGTCAAAATTCAATTGGGAACCCCTGGGGAAAAGTTTGATATTCTCTAGAATCATTGGCTAAAACTTAATCATTCCATTTACTTCGAAATGTAATTTTCTCCTTTATAAATGTGTAAGAGTTGGGGGAAAAATCAAGAACCAAAAAATGTATTCCTATAATAGAAAAAGTGATTATTTTATGATAGGGAAGCTAATGATGCTCTTATGGGAATGGCATTCCTAGCAACAGAATATTAGCATGGTACCACAAGGAAGTCACTACGCGAAATAAACATTCCTTTCTATTTCGAAGAGATATAACTATAAATCCGGGTACTTATTTAATCAAAGACATATTTCCTATGTGTCTAATGTTAAATCGAGCGTTTGTATCAACGTACAGGATACATAGGGGTTTTTCATGAAAGTTTTTTTTCCGGAGTTTAATATCATTCTTCGAAGTATAAATCTATCTATAGCAAATCTCTAGTAAACATCCGCAAATGATTTTTGCTAACCTATTCATTTCAATTGTTAATTTGTGCAAAATGGAAAAAAATAAAGGAAAAGAACTGAATGTACGAATTATCATTCATATATACCTAATACAGTGCATCCTGTTTACTCAGATGGGTTATAATTACAAAATCCGTTTTCAGAAATATAACATAGATATTTTTTTCTTCGACGTTATCTTATTTTGTCTATCTTCTCCAGGTCTCATGGCCTCTGCACTCGCTCGAAGGGGGGAGGGCTCCATCTATATATCCAGATCTTCATATCTCCTCCCCCTTTTTATTCCGTATTCTGTTATAATTTCTGATCAAAATTTGTCCGTTGTCTGTCGTCGTCGTTGTCGTCGTTTACGTTGTTAACTTTTCACATTTTCATCTTCTTCTCCAGAACTACTCGGCATTTCAACCAAACTTGGCACAGAGTATTCTTGGGTGAAGGGCCACGCCCTCCTCCAAGGGGAAATAATTAAAAATTAGTGAAAAATTAATAACATCCTTTAAAAATCTTCTTCTGAAGAACCACTGGGCCAGAAAAGATGGAACTCATGTGGAATCATTGTCAGGTAGTAGTAGACTCATGACGCCCGGGGGAAGGATGGGGCCACAGTGGACGATCAAAGTTTTACATAGGAGTATATAGGAAAAATCTTTAAAAATCTTCTTCTCAAGAACAGCAAAGCAATGATTGGTCATATTAATGTGAAAGCATCCTCAGGTGATGTAGATTCAAGTTTGTTCAAATCATGACCCCCCCCCCCCCGAGGGTAGGGTGGGGCCACAGTGGAAGATCAAAGTTTTACATAGGAGTATATAGGAAAAATCTTTAAAAATCTTCTTCTCAAGAACAGCAAAGCTACGATTAGTCATATTAATGTGAAAGCATCCTCAGGTGGTGTATAATCAAGTTTGTTCAAATCATGACCCCCTGGGATAGGGTGGAGTCACAATGGATGATCAAAGTTTAACATAAGAGTATATAGGAAAAATCTTCAAAAATCTTCTTCTCAAGAACAGCAAAGCTACGACTAGTCATATGGTCATATTTATATGGAAGCATCGCGATCATCAGGTGGTGTATAATCAAGTTTGTTCAAATCATGACCCCCGGGGGTAGGGTGGGGCCACAATGAAAGTTCAACTTGTAGGGAAAAAAGGTAAGCATCCTTGTTTAGTGTAGATTCAATTTTGTTCAAATCATACCCCCCTCCCTTTTAAGGGTAGGTCGTGACCACTTATGCATTTAAGCTCTTCAATACTAAACTGATTTTTGCTTGTTTCCTAGCCACAGTGCTCAGGTGAGCGATGTGGCCCCCTGGGCCTATTAATTGTTTAAACTCATTTCATTTTTTGTACCCCACCCAAACACAAATAAAAGAGTTTTTAATTACTCCATCCTACTCACAAAAATGCATATTTTCTAATCTATACACGCCTATTAATTTTTGTTAAAGAATAAAAGTCATTTGCATAAAGAGGTATCAAATTTATGTAGTTTTTTTTCTGTACTCAAAGCTGTATAAAGATTCCACCATAATCAGAATAAAGTAATTTTTGTTCTAAATTCGATGAGTTTGCTTCTTCATTTCTTTGTGAGATCTGAATTATATGCAAAGTCTATTCTCTAGGAATCACATTCTATTTTCTTTTAGTATTTTGTAAAATATGCAACATTTTTACTTTTATACTTCATACTGATAAACAATATGAATAGTTAGTGGGGGGAAGGGGTGGGGTGGGGGGCACGTGTGAACGTTTGGAAAGATTTCAACACTGAGTATATACCCAAAAAAATCTGATAATTAAAAGATCCGAAACTAAACTACGTAGCAAAAATTGCACAGTAATTATTGGCGAAACACCTGTGTCATGATGAGAGAGAAAGAGAGAGAAGGGGTGTGGTTACGTAGGAAATACTAGTAGTTGAAACAGTAAATATGAAATTATGAAATATGAAATTAATGAGCTTTGACATGCACAAAATTTACGAGATTTTTTTTTTCAAATTAAACCAAGAGAAAGCTTGAGTTAAAAGAATTGTAGTCATATGAAACTATATATATATTTATTTTTAAAATTTTCAACTTGGAACAAAAATTTTTAAACTGTAGTTTGCAAATTGACTCTGTAAAATTACTTAACTTTTCAAAGTGTAGGTTAGCAATGTTCAGAATAAAAATTCATTACTTGTATTTTGAATATGTGAAATCCTTTACCAGTGCCCTGAATATAGACCGACAGTTTCGTGCAATGTCCTGGTGCATGTGGCAGATTTTGTAGGCCCTATATTCGTTCTACGCTCGACTGATTTTGTGCTTTGTCCGGCAGCAGCTTGTGCAAGATCGAGGACCTTTAAATATTTGATGTTTATCCGTGGTATAAGCCATGTATCTATCACAGCTGTTCAATGTCTATATAAAATCGGGGGTTATATTTATAGTGATTTATCCAAACAATCTTTTCTTAACCTAAATATGTGTTTGGTTATTTTATTGTTATATCCTTATATTTTATTTTTTTTGAAAAACAAAAAAATATCTCTTTCTGTTTATCTAATAATTTTTTTTCATTAAAAAAAATTTTATTTAAATATATTTAAAAAAAATATGAGATATGATTGAACACTGACATGACTGAGAATGAACACCTTAGAAGAAAATGTTGTTAAAAAACCTTACATGAATTTATCTAAAGCTTATAAGGGGAGGTCGCTGTAATTTATTTCTATATATAAGGGTACTGAATATTTATTAGGTGCGTGATTAAAAAGTGTGACGTCACGAGTCAAATATGGCGGATGGTGCTGTTTTGACAGATGTGAGCCCGGGTCATTTCGTAATGGATAGACTATTTCATATTAATTGTGCACAGTGCAACATATCACATTGTTTTGAAGGAAATATTGAAACACTATAATGTCATTATTGTGTGTTTGCGGTAGGTATTGCTTGGAATAACACTGTACGAGCTGATTAATATATTGGAAAACTGTGATAGTGTTAAAGTCAGAAAACCTTTGTTATGACTATGAGATTTCTACTGAAGCACTTGGTGCACCTTTTCTTTTATAGAAGTGAAATTTGCCTTTTATTTGATATGTTAAAGGTCTAATTATTTATCTCATTTGTAGTATGCATTAAACCGACTGTAAATATGAGAAACAAGTGTTAAAATTTAACCATTTGCGGATTCACGATAAGACACTCTTAAACTTCATTTATTTTTATTAAACTGTATGTTATTTTGCTTTTTAATGGTACCAGCAAGGTGCATTGTTCAGCATAAATTTAAATCCTAATTTTCCAATGGTTTGGTAAATGGGTAAATTGCACATAATATCTGCAAAAATTCAAATGCATTATCTGCAAATTTCCAAGAAAATCATCTGAAATTACCTTTGTATATTTAATTATTTTACATGAATAAGTATTACCTTCTAGTGAAATTAGAAATTTCTTAATTACAGACTTTCACAGTAACTGTGGAACTGCTCTTTTGCTGGTCAAATTGTTAAAGTTTGGTGAAATATGACAAGTTATATAATCTGCATAGTAAAACTTCACCAAATTATGTTAATTTTTTTCTGCAAAAGAGCAGTACTGTAGGACATTTAATCCTCGTAATACATTTCTTAATATAAGGTGCAACAAGATCTCTCCATTGGTTACTGCCACTTGGAACTCTGTTGATGGTCTGTTTCAGTCATAGCTTTTACATTCAGTTCCTTTCATTTCTCAATTTCTGTTTTGATGGTTTATGGTGTATGAAATACATGTATAAATTTGTAAATAACTTTTGCAGTGATTTGTGTATAATCATAAGCAGATGTCTATGATAATACCCCCCCTCCCCGAAGAATTTAAATATTTTTTCACTTGAATGAAAAACATCAATTCTCAGTACACTCTGTATAATATATAAATACATTTATGTACATTAACCTGATTTTAGATGAGTCTGTCCTCAATCTTGAGTTTTCTTTAATAATTTAGAAGTGGGAGAATTTAAGCTAGAGCTTTGTCTACTTCCAATCTGCCATGCAGAACTACTGGTTGCCAGATTTCCTCATACTACTGAATGCCTTTAATTTATATAATTTGAGATTTCTCCTGTGAAAAGTGCAAATTTAAGGATTGTCCTAATATGGGATACAAGCTTATCTTTTAAAAAGATTGGTGAGCTAGCGCTGTAGCATAATAAAATACAGAAGAAGATATCTGAACCATTTGTCAAATTTGCTGAATCGATTAATTATTAATAGGAAGGCAGATTGGTGCACTGGGGGTTGAGTTTTGGGGGGGGGGGGTCACAATTCAGAATGGTGAATCTAAGAGCGTACTTCACGTCGGCAATGGCATAACTCCTAACTGTGCTTTAAGCATTCTGAATTTCATTGTAATTTCAATTTCGAGGTGAAAAAATAAAAGGTCAGTAGAACCAATGAGCACCTTAATTTGGGCCTTTCCGGCAAGCTCGGAAAACATATCCGAGGTTGCCGCGGTTTTCCGAGCTTGCCGGAAAGATCCATGAAGGTAGATTAGAAAAGCTATGTATACATTACTGCTTTATAAATAACAGTCTTGGTTTTATAAGACCCGAGTTACTGTTACTTTTTGTTCATTTACGTGCAGGTTAAACAACAAAACACGAAACTTCAGATCATATGTATTTTCAGATGATAAACACTAAATTGACATGTCTTTCCGACATACTCTGAAAAAGATTGTTGTTGTTGTTGTTGTTGTTTTTTCCGAGCTTGCCGGAATTATCCACTAAAGTTGTAAAACTGTAAGGAAAGCTAGATGTCTAGAATCTTGGCATTATATGGCCACATTTTTCCTGTACTTTTATGTGTAGGTTAGACAATAAATTAAAAAAAGAATCAGAGTCCGGATCTAGACTGGTACTGACTCTCTCTAACCTACGAAATGTATTTCGCGCATATCAGACAGGAAAGGCCAGTGTAAATTCGGATCTTTTCTATTTTTGTATGACAAAACGAAATTCTTATCGTACAGTCTATCTACAGTAGTTTTCCCAGAATCCCCGACCGTGAAATTGAGCATGCGTATTTCAGAAATATAGACTAACGTAGTTGCTAGCGCTCGAGAGCGCTAGCAATTAGGGATATTGATATGGGAAAGTGGAAATTGTCGGTATAGAATTTTAAATAATATTACTAAATACCTTCAGTTGATGGAAGACAAACATATGAAAAAAAGATCTATGACAGGTGTATACAAAATAAGTGTATCTAGGCAAACCTGATTTGCTAAGCAAGATTGGATCAACTAAGGGGACATATGAAATGACATATGATAAAGAAGCTCAGGAGTCTCTCACATTGTATTGTGAGAATACTTATAGTGTGTTGATTGAAGTACATGTACATGTATTTGATCTTAAGACTTGTAGAACATATAGAATAAGTTTCCACCTGTCATTTATATGTTTATGAGTCAGAATATCACAACTGTTATTAAATCTCTCTTTTTTTGTATTTTTCAGTGAAAAAAGCCAGACTGATTGGAAGCCCTGGTGAGTTCTATAGAAATCAATGATTTGAGTTAGTCATTGCACGGACAGGTCATGTACAGTCATTTAGTTAATCACGATAATTGAAAACATATAAAATCAGTGTCATGATAAAGGGCTAATCAGTTTTTGTTCCTGATATCAAGTATCCTGAGAAATTTTTTATGTACATGCTCACATACTTAATTTTTGAACCAAAGTTTCAACTTAAGTTCTTCAATGGCACGTCAATTAACAAAAATCCAAAATTATATAAAAGGGTCAAGAATGCCTTTAGAACAAGAAATGTAAATACTTATACACTATTGAACTTCAGTTTCTTGTACTGGCCGGTATATCTATGATGGTCCAGAATGTAACATAAATGGCAAGGGTTTAAGGAGAGGCCAATGCTATAAGAACCAGTTTTCATTAACTAGTTATATACAGAGTCAGCTGGACCAGATATATAAATCAAAAGGCAGCTGACACATGTTCTGATTCATCAAGTTATAGCAACATTTATTCACTCTACGGGGTATCCTAAATCTAGAGACATATACAACATACAAGCAATTCATTCAGCTGGGACATACATTTTCTGTCACCTGCATAGCATGGCAGACACATAAAGATTACTTCATGTTGGGTTTAAGTCTGTCCATCTGTCCTGGAGAAAACTCTGTTTTTTTTTTAAAAAAAAGCTTATTAATTATATATAGAACTCACTTCATATAAATACATGTATTCATCTCAGTATGAGGCAAACATTACACAGAGATTAAAAAGTCAGTTCATATTCAAAATTGTGTATAATATCATATTGGCTGCTTAAGATGAAATAGACTGAAGTCACTTTATTGCTACAGATTTAAATTTCTTGTCAGATTTAACATGAGTGTTCTACAATTAGAATATGGCTTCGTCATCAGACTTGTTCATCCGCAAAGGTTGTTGTCTGACGTGAGGTGTTGGAATATCGTATTTTCTTAGCTTAGTAATGGGGATAGCCACCAGAATTATTTTACTAAAATAAATAAATGTAGGTATTGTTTATGAAAAACTGAGCTACTAGCAGGGTATTAATGATTTAATTAAGTTAACAAGTAGTTTATAATTAATAGCAAACTTAACTAGAATGTGTGGATGATATAAATAAAATTTCACGTGATCTATGAAACCTCTTCATATATTTATTACTGACATTCTTTGAAAACTTCCAAATTTCAGTCTAAAGAAAATCTAAATTATCCCCCCCCCAAAATGATTCTGTAAATTCATGAGTTTATAAAAAAAGAAAAAAAGATTTTTTTTCTGGCAAATAGATTTTGAATACATTTGTCTGAATCTACAATCCTTTCTCAGTTTCTAATTCTGCAATGTTATGTATTATAAACAGCAAAGAAAACATAACCCATCTGCATTTAAAATATTTAGTTAGTATCTTTCTTGGATAGAAAAACAAAACAAAATTTAACCAGCAAATCAAAATAAATTGTGTCTGAACCTAACACAGACATTGCTACATACTTTAATGTATTACGCACACCCTTTTTGATTGAATAGGATATGACAATGTAGTTTGTTTTTATATGTACGAAAATCCAATTTGACTTCACACATTTTTTGATATTGATTCCACTGAACTATTCAGTAAATATCTCGTTTCTTCCAATCAACCACCAGAAGAAATGAAAATATTTGGATTTTGGATAAGACATGAACCTCGGGCATGTAAATATGATTTGAAATTGAAAAGGAGGGGAGACGAGTAATTTTGTCTTTCTTTATTTACCTGGCTTTGTGTACACATATTTGATTTTCGAAGATTTTTGGCAGTAGGTTGTAAAGAGAAATTATTTTATTAAACCTCCATCTACAGGTCATTGATCAAGGTTTGGTAGGACAGCAGGTGACCTTTACAGTGTTCATATACATGTATTTTAACTGAGTGCAAAACTTATTTTGAAAATGAAAACAAAAAGAATAAATTAATTTTAATCTTTTTTTTTTTTCTTTTTTTTTGACTATAATGGCCAATTTCTAATAAAATGCTTATATTGCAACATATTTTAAGATATATTTTATGAATAATCCTTGGTACCACTGGTAGTTCTATTTAATTAATAAACTTTTAACATATTAAATTATATCAGCATCTTTACTGATCTTTCACTTGCACTGCATGTTCAGTGATCTGCTTTGCAGTGTATTTACCAAATTAAGTTGATTTAGAGTTTACTTGAAATATAGTATCATGCATTTAAAATTTCATCATATTTATTTTTGCTTTCTAGAAGAGGGTAAGTGGAATTTAATGTAAAAGTGCTTCTGAGTTTTTGTTTTGGACACATCGTTCAAACACTTTCACCTAAATATACATTATTTTTTTATGGTTTAAATTCTACACTCAGAAATGAAGTTCAAAACCTTGCCAGAAAACTATTCTATAGTTCTGAACATGATCAATCAAAAATTATTTAGAATTTTGCTCACTCCACGTTTTATGCACATCTTATTGTATGCAATAAATTCCGAAATGTATTTTCAGTACCTTCATTTTATTTTATATTAAGGAAGCTCTAAAAACTAATGAAAAATGTTTTTTTTGGAATTGAGAATATGATATCATATAAAGGTGCACATATTAAGTTTTATCGAATTCATTTTCAGCGTAGGGTTCCTGCCATAGTTAGCAATATTTATAGAGCTTCCTTAATCAAAATTCAAATTGAATGATAAAACTGAGCCGGATGTTCAACTTTAAAGTACAAGTCAATTCAATAGTCATTAGATTCTCTGTCTTTTTACAGTGTGCTATTGTGCCATTAGCTTTCTGTAGAATTATTATGTCAGTCTAACTTTGGCCCAATCCCATCCAGTGTCCATGAGCTTGATACTTGCTTTGAATGATAAGATTATTTCTTCTTTAAAAATGTACTCTTACCAGACAGCAGTATATGTTCCGTAGGAGGTTTATATAGTCTCTTATTGTCCTATTAACTTGAGAATCAATTATAGTAAAATCTTTTAAGTTACATGAATAAATTCAGACTGTTATTAGTTGTAGCCAAGTTGATTCAAGGTAAAATATTAAAGGTCAAGGTCACTGGAATAAAGGATTTGGAGTAATGTAAGCAAAAATTGTGTTTGATGTGTAATATGATGGTCCTTGATTAGAATTAGTGTACACTTAAATATATTAATTGTTCTACATGGCTTAAAAGGTTTGTCATAATCTTCGTGTTTCAAATGATGTTAGTTGTATTAGATGTCGTGTGTTGTGATCCTGATTCAAAGTCATGGAAAAAAGTCAGGGAGGGGGTAAGGGTAACTTATAACTATTATTTTTGATCTGTTTATTTAAAAAAAAAGTACAAATTATTTTGTTTAAATTTGATATTCAGATGTAATATTATATTTGCAAACATAATGAATTGTGAGATAGACTTTAAAGGTTATGCACATATTGGCACAAATAATATAAACATTAATATGTTCACTGATGCTTTATCCAAATTTGGCATGACCTTTATCAACAAAGATGAACACAAGAAGTATATTTATCTTTAGTTATCTGGTTTGTTCATCTAAAAGGTGTCTCCAAAAAAAAAATGTCAGCAGATTCCTTAGAGATTTAGGAAAAAGATAAGCTTTGGGCAAAGAAATGATTGATTAGGTTTTTAGCTCACTTGTCCCAGAGGGCCATTTGGTGACCATCATCACAGTCTGTGTCAGTATCATCATCGTCATCCACCAGCATCATTAACATTTTCAAAAATCTTCTTCTACATTTGTCATATTTTTTTTGGAGACTTAATTGTGTTGATGTGGGGCATGTTCTCTACAAACTGAAACAGATTTGCAGATTTTTACTCATAACTCAGTTCTAAGAACTCTTTATATTCAAGTAGTTGCAGTTTACTTGTGATCATTCTGAATTGATGAATTGTTCATTTTTTTTCTCAGGCAAGGTTAAGACTGTATTCTTGTGTAGAATTTTTTCTGTAGACTTGAGAAAAATTTGAAAGAGCACGTATTCTGTTTTGATTTTTTTTTTTTAATTTCAGATTTGAAACCCTTATCTATAACACTTACCTTCTATTTTTAGTATATATATAAATATATAGACAGTGCTGTAGACTTCTCATTTGTATTTACCATAAGTCTGTCATTCATTTAGCATTGTAACACATCTGCACACATTTTTTTAAATCATAAAAGGGATATTGCTTTTGTACATGAGCATTAAAAATCATAGTTATGAACCAATGATTCTGTATGATTTATTTTATACAGAATTAACGTAGATAAGACACCTGTTCACCTGACATGCATGTAGTATGTCTCATATTTTACCATAATCAGAATTAGGTCATACCCATAATTGGTACAACATATGGAAATTGATGTATATATATGTAGGATTTCAAAGTGTAATGGGACTCCAAAGCCCAGTAGTCGCATCAGAATTTAATGGTCTGCCCCAAACCCCAATGTTTGACATGCCAAACCGTGATGGTTCATATGCAGTTGCCAAAGTCTGATGGTGTGACACGCCAAAGTCTGATGTTCTATATTAAAGTGCGTAATTGCTGCCAGGCAAAAGTCTAATGATTTTGAATAAATATGTATGATAAGATTGCAGATTGTATCTCTTATTAAAATTCACTAACCTTTAAATTTCTAGAGTGGTTGCAAGGCTAACTCTATGAATACATGTATCTTAGGGGGTGCAAGACTGATTGTTTCAGAACTGCATCATCATGTCAGACCATCATCACACTTTTGCATGTTGTGTCTCATGTGTCTCACAGGAAATGAAGTATTGGACTTTGGCCTGGTCAGCAAACTTTGGTGTCCATACCAACATAAAACTATCAGGTTTTGGTGCAGACCATCAGACTTTGGCAAGACCATGGTACTTTGGTGTGACTACCAGACTTTGGAGTCTTACATATATATTATGTCTTACTTAGAATTACTACCAAATTTTAGCTTTTTCCCTGTGCAAAAATTCACAAAATTATGTCAGGATTTTCCAACAAGATTAAATGAAAAACATTTTATGTCAACCTTATATACAAATGTTTGATTGAATATTTAAATAGGACCTACTATTATATAAATTGCTTAGCATCTGGTATTGATGATGCAACTACATAAAATACTGACACAGTTTCTGTTAATTCAACAGGTAAGCTCTTGTAGATATGACAGAAATTATCAAATCTGTCCAAGAAAGTTCTGTGAATTATTTCCAGTATCCCAATAAGTCAATGATTTTTCTCATGTTGATTACTTCGTTTAAAAATTGGTGTGAAAATCACTGTTTTATGATAGACTTGCTAAAAAGAAAGAAAAAGAAAAGTCTGCCATAGCAGCAGTATATTTTCCAGAAATATTTATTACACAAATAGATGTTTTGAATGACCATCTGCATTGTTATAGCAATTGAAAATTATTTACTCATTTTTGTAACCTTGTTAATTTTTTGCTTTTCTATTTAGGAATGACCCTATAAATTTTTTGTTTCTATTTTAGGACCAGTAACAGTGAACAAATCTGGGTATCCCATATATAGAATTCTGATTTATTCCTTTAAGAATGTTTTTACTTGTCATGTGGAGGTGTTTTTATTACAGTTTTAAAATAATTAACTAGATAAAATCTATTTCTTGCATTGATTTTCTTTCTTGTTTCTTGTTGATAATAAATATTTTAAAAGGGTTTTAAGTTTTTCTTTTTTGTTTGAGTTTTTTTTTTAAATCTTCATAACTATGTAATACTCTTGTGCAATTGAGGTCTTTGAAGGGATTTATAATTACATTTATATACCAATTGTATGATTTTATCATTACCCAAGGATCGATTTGTCTGCATTTTTGAATATCTGGTCTTTTTGGTACTCCCATCTCTTAAAACCTCCATCTTTTAAATCTTCCAGAAAAAAATTTTAAATTCTATTTAGATGGAATGTTCAAATTCTTGTACATGTAAGTACATGTATTTATAGTTTGGCAATAATTACAAAATGTTGTATGAGGAGAAGACTAAGTTTTAGAACTTGTGTCTGATCTTTTCACTTTTTGTCAATAAAATAAATTCAACTCAATTCCAAATTCCCGAATGTTAGAATACATTTAACGATAAAATTATGTACAAATTGTAAGATATTTAATTATTTCTGATGAGAATATGTGGATGTACTAGCTATCTGTATAATTATGAATTATCTGTAGGCAAGGAATTCAGTTGAAAAAAAGGTTAATTTTAAGTAATAAAATATGTATAATACCTAATCTTTCAAATTCCTATATTTCAGAGAGATTCAATACTTATGTGACCTTAAAACTACAAAATGTTAAATCTACCACCATTCAAGTCAAGGGGAATAACCCATGCTGGGAGCAGGATTTCATGTTGTAAGTACATACAGTTTAAATGTCTGATGAATCAGATATACATTTTTTTTAAATTTTGTTCCAGCTGTTCAGAATTTGATCAACTCTCTGTACTGAAATATTTAATTTAGTGTTGGACAAACTGAATCAATAATCCTGACTACATGTATAAGGTTTTGAAAGCTGTCACCTTTACCTGTTACCACTGGATGTTGCATGGCTATCACAAGTCTAACAAATGACTTATCTGTCCTCTAACACTGCAAGGTTCTCTGTTACCGGTAATATCTATTTGCAACTGTCTATATGTAATTCAAACTGGTCACAGTTTTGGAGTGGTCGGCACACCCAGTGAGAATGTGAACATCCTGCATTTTGGACAGATTTCAAATGCTAGAATTTTTCTATCATCTTTTGGATAGAACATTGGTCATATTTATAAAGGGTACTTAGTTTGTAAAAAAAATGTACAAATCAGAGGCAACAAAGATAGTTTATACAATTGTTTTCACTTTTCTTTATGATTGCTGATACCTTAGGGAAGATGATTACCTATTCACTATATAATATGGTCATTGTACTTCAAGTGACACAGGTCCTGACTTTAAATTGGTTGTGTCACATATAGTTGTCATTGGGTGTAATTAACGTAAGGCTTTCTACCTTTTTGAACAACAGGTCAACTTTCATATAATTTTCTGTTATTGATAGATAAATTGCCCTTTTTTTCCCCTCAGGTGTAGGTAGTTTACCATATTTTGCTAGGTCAGTAACCTGCAAGTAAGTTTTGAGCAATATGCATTATTTTTGTGGCTTGGATACTTTTGTATATAGTGCAATATTGTTTTGATTAATTTCTGTTCTGTGGCTTGGGCATAAAATGTTTTGTCTTTTCCCCAGACAAAAGTTTCATCCCCCCCTTCCCCAAACTCATGCATTCATTGACAGAAACTTAATGTACTTTCATCAAACTTCTAGCTAACACATTTTGGAATAACTGTTGATCATAAATATATAAAACTCATTACTAACTTCCAACTGTCGCCCGCGTGGCCCAGTGGTTAGAGCGTCTGCTCTAGAGTCGCGAAGTAAGGAGTTGATCCTTACGTCCCGGGTTCGAATCCCACTGTGGGATGTGGAGACCGGTCCTTCAGATGAGACCGTATAAACCGAGGTCCCGTGTCGCAGTAGGTGCTGGCACGAAAAAGATCCCTCACTGGTCAATGGTCGTAAGTGCTGAGCATAGGACAAAATTTGCAGCTCTCCACCGTCAAGTGGTGGCGTCTCCATATGAGTGAAAAATTCTCGAGAGGGACGTTAAACAACATACAAACAAACAAAACTAACTTCGAACTCCTGTCAACCCCCTTCCCCCTGCCAACTCCCCAACTCCTAGATCCACCAATGTGACATTCATGTTTCTAGTTTTAATAGTGTCTGCATTAATATAATTGCAAATCTTCAACATTAATTCAAAGAAATGCTGAAATTGATCTGGTTAGATAGATCCCTCCTGTTATGCAAAATAGGTTTTTTAGTATTCGTTTAACTCGGACTACATCTTTACTTAAAACTTACTCAAAGCTTATATATATATATTCAAGGTTGGATATTCCAGGTGCATTACAAGTCTTCGATTGGCATTTTTTTTTTTTAATTTTTGATTATAAATGATTAGTGCATTGAGTGTGATTGGTTTCAATTAATAAATTGGTTTCTAAATTCATGAAAACCAAGTCCGTGGTTTCAGTAGAATTGCTTCATCACAGATTCCACATTGTCAATCCAAGATGATTCTTAAAAAAAAATTAATGATATATCCCAGTAGTGTTCATGGACACATTTCCAGCAATATTATGTAATATTGACAGATAATGACTGGTACCTTTCAGAGAGATGACAACCAGTTTATCACTTCCTGGCTTGGTGCCTACTATTATGTCTCCTTTGGGACTATAGTAACCACGGCAGCTGGGATACTCCATTTAGTTATTTATGTGGATATATTAATGAGTGGTGTGTTTTACATGCTATTAATAATTAATGGTGGCTTACAGACCAGAGGACTTGATTTTTCGAACATCAGATGCAGCGTTAAGTCGGCATAAATTTACACATTTGCAAGAATAAAGTTAATTTTTAGCTCACCTCGACGAAGTTGAGATGAGCTTATGCTATACCCCCGGCGTCGGCGTTAGCGTCGGCGTCCCAGGTTAAAGTTTTAGGAGCAAGTCCCATTCCCAAGTAAATATAAGCCCTACCTGGACCAAACTTGCATGGATGATGCATCTAGGGATGGACACTACCAAACTTGCTTCGGATGCTGGATCTGACCTAGATTTTCCAGATGAGTGACCAGGTTAAAGTTTTAGGAGCAGGTCCATTCCTAAGTAACTATAAGCCCTACCTGGATCAAACTTGCATGGATGATGCATCTAGGGATGGACACTACCACACTTGCTTCGGATGCTGGATCTGACCTAGATTTTCCAGATGAGTGACAGGTTAAAGTTTTAGGAGCAGGTCCATTCCCAAGTAACTATAAGCCCTACCTGGACCAAACTTGCATGGATGATGCATCTAGGGATGGACACTACCACACTTGCTTCGGATGCTGGATCTGACCTAGATTTTCCGGATGAGTGACCAGGTTAAAGTTTTAGGAGCAGGTCCATTCCCAAGTAACTATAAGCCCTACCTGGACCAAACTTGCATGGATGATGCATCTAGGGATGGACACTACCACACTTGCTTCGGTTGCTGGATCTGACCTAGATTTTCCAGATGAGTGACCAGGTTAAAGTTTTAGGAGCAGGTCCATTCCCAAGTAACTATAAGCCCTACCCGGACCAAACTTGCATGGATGATGCATCTAGGGATGGACACTACCACACTTGCTTCGGATGCTGGATCTGACCTAGATTTTCCAGATGAGTGACAGGTTAAAGTTTTAGGAGCAGGTCCATTCCCAAGTAACTATAAGCCCTACCTGGACCAAACTTGCATGGATGATGCATCTAGGGATGGACACTACCACACTTGCTTCGGATGCTGGATCTGACCTAGATTTTCCGGATGAGTGACCAGGTTAAAGTTTTAGGAGCAGGTCCATTCCAAAGTAACTATAAGCCCTCCTGGACCAAACTTGCATGGATGATGCATCTAGGGATGGACACTACCACACTTGCTTCGGATGCTGGATCTGACCTAGATTTTCCAGATGAGTGACCAGGTTAAAGTTTTTGGAGCAGGTCCATTCCCAAGTAACTATAAGCCCTACCTGGACCAAACTTGCATGGATGATGCATCCAGGGATGGACACTACCACACTTGCTTCGGATGCTGGATCTGACCTAGATTTTCCACATGTGAGACCAGGTTTAGATTTAGGAGTAGTCTCGTTCCCAAGTAACTATAAGCCCTACCTGGACCAAACTTTCATGGATGATGCATCTAGGGATGTACACTAACCAACCTGCTTCGAATGCTGGAGCTGACCTAGATTTTCCACATGAGTGAATTTTAGCCATATTTTAACCAAATTAGCATGGATGATGTATCTAGGGATGGACACTTCCAGACTTGCCTTGGATTCTGAATCTGACGTATATTTTCCAGATGAGTGACCAGGGTAATTTTTTTGGAGTAGCTATATAATATTATGGCCTGTTATGATTAAACTTGAATAGATGGTGCATCTAAGAATGAAAACTTCCAGACTTGCTTTGGATGTTGGAACTGACCAAAATTTTCTTGATTACTAAACAGGTCAAAAGTTTTTTGAGCAGGTCTATAATTAAATCAAACTTGCATGGATATTGATCTTGGGATGTACCCTAACTAGAAAAAAAATATGATGTGAAATTTGCCTTACATGTAGATAACATTCGTCAAGGTGAGCTTCGTAATCTTTGATTACCTATGTTTAAGGAAAGGGTCACTCCTATATAGCAAATGAGAGCTGTACATTTTTGTACAATTTAATACACAGTACACTATAAAGCTTTAATAGCTTAAGTTTAGAGACAGGGGATGTATATTAATTATTGTGCTCAATGAGAATGAATTAAACCAGTTATCAAGTAATCAAGATGAATCTCAAATGGTTGCAAATGATTGCATGCATGCATGTCCATTACTACCATCAATGTGAATATAGACCTTTTGACCACAAAACTATTCTGTTTCTTTCTATGTGCATCTAGCATACATGTGGCAAGTTTGAAACTGAAAGATATGCAACTTGGTACTCTTAAATTTCTATAGACAAGACCACGTACAGCATGGTACGTGCTAGGAGACACATATGTTAACTCATAGTCAATTATGGTTAGTACTAATATTCCTTTGCAACTTTGTTGAGAGGAAAAAAAAGGCAGTTGCAAGTTTCTAGATACATTGTATTAAGATTGTGAAAATCAGGAAACTGCTTCAGACAATTTTGAAAGGCTCTTTCCCTAGGTTTCTAATAAAAACTAATTTCTCATCTTTTGATTTTTAATAAAGGAAAGTTTTTTTTTTTAGTAAGATGCATCTACATGCCTAATTGGAGATGTGCTAGACAAGATGTTGCTTTTGTCTGCAAGACACACCATAATTAATATCTGTATTATTTGATCAGGCTTCATATATCAACTCATAAAGCCAGGGTTTTTCGAGTAGGTTGCTTCATTAGTTTGATATGAATAGATTAAAAATAGTCAAAATCTTATTACGCAAATCACCAAGGGTCCTTTAATTAGTTTTTGCAGCTGCAGTTCTTTTCATAAGTATTTTTAGATTAGATGGTTATATTATGTGATTTATGCACATTGAAGATTAAGGTGTATAAACTTTGATTCAGTTATAGATGGTATTCTCTGAGGTGAGAAATTGTCCTCCATTGCAATGTCCTAAAGATGCAGTTTTGATGATCTTTTTGGGCATTATTTTTAATTTATGTCTGGATCAGGAAATGATCAATTTATCCTCCATTAGTGACATAATGAACAAGCACAGTGAAATTGAAATATCTTGAAAAT